AAAAAATTTAACAAAAATTACAAATTAATGAAAATTATGTGAAATTTACCATATTTTCGTTTATTTGCTAACAAAGAACATCACATTTCATGTTGCTCAACATTGTATTATGTTATCAACATTAAATTCAACAGAATTTTTACATTCCGACTTGAACTTTTCTAACGCTGTTAATTTTTCGTCCGCGAATAGTTTCCACTTTCAGTTTGCACCTTCTCTATCTATCTAAGTTCTCTGACTGAAGTCTCTTGAAATCAATGTGCTTTTATATTTTTTTATTAATTCATACAAATTCAGCAAGTTCTCATATATACAAACATATATACATACATGCATCATACTTATGTAAATATGTGTGTACCCAATAAGCAAAATACACTTGGGTCAAGTTTACTATAAAGTTACTGCAGTAAGTCCAAGGTTTTAGAAAATCTTTACTGCAAATATTGTAACTCATTTAATAATAATTGTAGATTTAACAAAAATGATCCCTTATTTTTAAATTTGGATTCGTTTTTGGCAAACAATTTTTAATACAGGTTTTATTCAACGTATTTGTAAAGGTTATTGAAAAATTGTTGAAAAAAGCCTAGCGATCAGCAGGTCGCAGGTTCGAAAGGAAATATGTATTTGAAAAAAAATATTTTTTTTTATATCTTATCTGATTTGCATATTTTGCACACATATTAATCTTTTTATTTACAAATTTAATAAACAATATTGTTTATAAAAATTATAATTTTTATTTGTCGTTGAATTTAATTAGAAAGCTTCTCTCCTATGAATGAAATACATACATACATTGCTCCCACATGCATTTCATCGTGTTTGAATTCCAATTCAAACCCGCCGCAACCAAAAGAAAAAAACTTTTTACTTAATATTGATACTTAACCATCGTGAATCGATCGCGGGACTTGAAAATCTGGAAAATGTCTGCCAATCACTTTTTTAATTACTTTAATAAAAACTATAGTTTTATTACATTTTTTTTAATTATTTCAATGAGAATTATAATTTTTTATTAAGTAACTTTTTATTCAACTAATGATATGGTATTTGAGATCATATTAATGGCATCTCCTCGGTTTCCTACAACCAAAACCCAAAGTGATACTACAAAAGGCAACAACGAAATTTCTTCGACAGAGTGACTCAAAAAAACGCTAGTTGATTTTTTTAATATTCACAATGTTTTTAACCAATCCCATAAAAATCAAGGATTAAAGCTTTATACAACGTTTAGAAAAATTCAAAAAATTTTCGTTTCGAATTGTTTGAAAGTGGATAGTTAAGCGAAAATGTGGCAGGAAGGCTGGTATCTCCATCTCAAATTGCATTGTTTAAGCATATACAAGCGCATATGTACCAATAGTTAGTGTAGTTTTTACGTACATATATATATATATCTATATATAAGTACACTAGACCGCACCAGAAAAAAGTACGCCGTACATACAGTCTAAAATATTTTTGAAAAAAATTAAAGATTTTTTGGCCGCCTTTTTACATTTGTCATCATATCTTCGGCATTGATAGTGGGACCTTAGAGTTATATTATATCGATGATCTCGCATAGAGAAATTTTATTGTTCAAAAGTTGATTGGCATCAAGTATACCGTTCTAGTCCTTACACACCAGATTGCAGTTCCTACCACCCCAACGTACCACCTTAATTCCAGTAAATTAACAGTGCAAATTAGGTTAATACAGTTGAAAGTATTTTGTAAGACAATTGAAGGATAAGTGGGCAAAATGGTTTGAAAGAAAAAAAGCTCAAACAGTCACAATAGTCGAGGGGGTTGAAGCACTGGAGTGAATTCGAGAGATCCGAGATTCGAGTCCTTAGGCAGCGGAATCTTTTATATTTTTTAAATTTAATGTTTAGATTTTATTTAATTTCATTTAATTTAATGTGTTTAATTTTATTTTATTTTTTTTTTTTTTTTTTTTTTTTTTATTTAATTTATTATTAAAAAATATATATGTATATATTTTATTAATTACATTTAGTTTTTAAAAACTTATTTTTTTTATTATTTTTTTAGATCCGAGGTTCGAGTCCTCAGGATATGGATTTTTTTTATTTATTTTTTATTTGAAAAAAAGGGTGTGGAAAAACAATAATATTTTACATATATGTAGAAGTTATACATTTTTTAAATCTCAATTTCAGATTAATAAAAAGTATACATATAAATTTTTTTTCATTTAATTTTTATAGACTTATTTATTATTTTTATTTTCTTTTTTAATTTGATTGTTTTAGTTTATATTTATACTTTTTTAGTTAATTTTTTTGTTTAATTTTTAGACTTTACTGGTAAAGCTCCAACAGCCGCAATGGCTGAGTGAGCGAAGCACTGGCGTTCCTTCAAAGGATCCGATTTAATAAAAAGTATACATATACATTTTTTTTTTCATTTAATTTTTATAGACTTATTTAATTTTTATTTTCTTTTTTAATTTGATGGGTTTAGTTTATATTTATTCTTTTTTAGTTAATTTTTTTGTTTAATTTTTAGACTTTACTGGTAAAGCTCCAACAGCCGCAATGGCTGAGTGAGCGAAGCTCTGGCGTTCCTTCAAAGGATCCGAGGTTCGAGTCCTCTGGCATCGGAATATATTTTCTTTTTTACTTAAATTTTTAGATTAAATTTTTCTAAAAAAACATATATATATTTGGTTTTATTTTAATTTAATTTTTAGAAGCCTATATTATTCCTATTTTCTTTTTATATTTGATTTTTAGATTTTATTGTTTTTAAAAAATATACATATATATTTTTGTTTGATTTCACAAAATTTTTAGACACTTATTTGTTATACATAATTGTTTAAGTTCAATTTCTTTTTTTTACATTTATTTCCTTTAAATTTTAGATTTTCTTTTTAAAACCGACTTTTTGTTACCTTTTTTAGTTTAATTTCTACATTTAAATGTTTTAAAAAGAAAATATATATTTTTTAGTTTCATTTTATTTTTCTTTTCTTTGGAAAGTCTTCCAATTTCATTTTATTTAGAAACTTATATTTTTTATTCTATTTTAGTTCTTTGCTTAAATAAAATTTGTATTAATATTGCATTATTATTTTAAAAAGAAAAATATTTTTTATATCGTTACATTTTAGAAACTTGTTTTTTTCTTTTTTCAACATTTTTTTAATTACATTTTATTTTTCTTTAAGTTTTAATTTTTTATTGTTCCAAAATGAAAAATGAATATTTTTTTAATTTCATTTGTTTTTTTTTTTAACTTATTGCTGAAACAGAAACAGAATAACGCTAAATCCTCCTCCTTAGCAAGTCATTCAATTAGTCTTTCGAAAGACAGATATGAGCTTTCAAGATTTTTGCTACATTTAACAATTGTCTTACAAAAGAATTGCCCTACAAAGCTCTCAAAAAATCATTAAAATTTTGCTGAGCAAGTTTTTTTTTATTTTAGTAGAGCTATTTAAAAAAAGGTTATTTTCGAAGGTAGGTGTCACCGCAAAATGTAAAAGGCAAATTTTCTTTTTAAGTTGCCTTGCGAAAATACTTTTATTTTGTTTGTTGGTAAGGAGGTACAGTCTAATATACACATTTTGTTTGATATGACAGACGTCGAGTTACTGTCGCTGTTGTTGTTTTTGTTGTTGCCTCGTTTAGTTGCTATCTCCGTCGTTTTCATGTTTCCGTTGACTTCATTGTTTTTGTTGCTATTATTCATATTGTTATTGATGTTGCAATTGGTGAAGGTGGTTACACCATAGCATTAATTGCCATTGCTGTTTTATTTGTTTGTTTGTTAGCATACACTTGCACAGGTCGTAAAATATACCTATGTACATACATACATAC